CGAGTGTGCACCGAAGAACGTAACGGTTGCGATGAACGCAGGGTTGATGATGAGGCTGATGACAGAGAGGACACGGGGAAGACTAGGAAAGGTGTCGAAAGGAAGAGTGGCACTTGTTCCGATACGAGGATGAGTGCTTGAGTTTTAGCAGCAAAAGACTTTCAGGATTCCTACCCGCCAGCACCTTGAAGCCCGACGACCAGGCAGCGCTATGTGTTGGAGCGGCCGAGCCATGCATGACAAGGAGAAGACTGTCTGCAGCAAGAACAGTAAACACATTCGCAATACAGAAGTCGAGGCGATGCTGCAGACATACAATGTTGGATCAAGCCCACAATGCCTTCCCGACTGACATCTCCATGAAAAACCATTCTGGCAAAGAGAAGCCAAGCCAAGCAACGGTGTAGAAGACACTACGCGATGCGAAGCCACAATATAGGGTTTAGACAATCAGAATAAGGCTTTGCCGGTATATTTTAGGAAAATTATATACGGACCAGCAGCGATGGCTACTAACTACTTATTCTTCTGACCCCTGCGTGATAGGGCTGCTTTCCTGAACCCTGCAAGCATCAGACGCTGTGAGTAAGTCCGCACACAGAATGGAGCTTCGCACCTGGTGACTTTGCTGGGCAGGCTGCGTACTTCAGCCTCACCCCGCTCTTGAGACGCTTGCGATGCCTAGGGTCGAAACAGACATGAGAGATTTGGGTGGGTTCGAGTCTCCCGTCTTGCTAAGAGAGGGCACCGGAATACATAGGAACTCGAGTCAAATACGTTGGCAATCATTCAGGCTTCTCTTATGGTCATCAGCTGCTTATTTCTGGCCGGAGTTTTGGCTCCCACTTGGCACGGCTGTTGCCCCGCATTGCAGGTTGCATGTCTTCGAAGCATTGAGGCTGGCAGGTTCACACGACAACTGGCCGGAGTTAGCAGAGCCAGTTTACCAAAGAGTCTCGAACAAAATCTTTCTTGGCTCCCGGGGTTTCACCAGCTGGGCTCAGACAAGTACCCTTGCATGCCTTGCACAATTCAATTAAGTAGAGCTTGTAACGCATGCTGAGATAAAGTATCAAATTCAAGCGAGCTGGGCCAAGCTCTGTAGAACAATAGCCGATAGCACTGCAAAAGCCCGCGTTTTTTTGACCCTAGTCAATTATACGTATAACTTTATAATGCCTGATCATGAGTCTGAATCTCAAGGCAACGTGCGCGTTCGCCCTGTGACCGAGGCTTTAAGGGCGTGGCACTAGCCAGGATGCACTGATGCAGCCTTTCTTGAGCCTGGGGCAGCAATCACGAACGTGACCACAAGCGCCGCCACAACCGCTACGTATTAGACTTGATACCGTCCACTCTCACACATCCAATCCCACCCAGCACACCCAAATGCGCTGCAAGTTTTCCTCCTTGCTTTGACTACAACTACGACAAGTACACCACAACACGATTGCTCTTGCTACTGACTGCTACTCCTACTACTCCTGCTACTGCTGCTGCTAGTACTACTGCTACTGCTACTACTACGACTATTATTACTAATTACTACTGCTGCTGCTGCTGCTACTACTACTGCTGCTACTACGACGACGACGAATGTAACCGCTGCACAAGGAGTAACGACCGTAAGGGCGGAAGGAGCAGCAAAAAGCATCACTGACGGCAATCATTACGATAGCAATCGTCACCATGTGAACCAGTTGAGTCTACCCTTACATGGGAGTTTCCGAAAATCAGGGGTACCGTTTTGGGGGTCCTTATAGTAAGGATCCTACTATGTAGGGTACTATATCAAGGGTCCGGAAGGCCTTGGCCAGCTCCTCAAGCTGACCTGCCAGCGTGCTGTGTGGGGAGGCATGCCTTCGGGACTGAGGGCTGGGGAGGGCTGCCATGGGGTTTTCCGCATGTTCGGCCCTTGGATGTGAACACCCTTGCTGTTTCTTCTTCTTCCAAGGATCCACAGGAAGCATCTTTTTCGAAAGCTAAGCCTTTGCATGATACTCGGCATTGAAGCAGGGTCGAGCCATCTGCCTACAGGGTCTGCCCTTGACCGCACGGATTTCGCATTTTCGGAAGACCGGTAAACAGGCTGACGAAGCCACGTCCCAACGAATAAACAGGACCACCGGCACCTCTGCAAGATCCACGGCTTTTTGGGTTGAGGCTTACTCCCCTCTTTACAGCTAGCCTCGGGCGTCCGGCTTTGGAGCCAGGCATACCGTTTATCACACGACTGTTAAACACATCAGGGCCAAGTACTGATGTGCAGCTTCCCACACCCGCCAAACCGAAGCCCAAAACCAAAAGGCCCAAAGCCTTGAGCCGGATCCCCGCTGAAAACTAGACATGCGCACTGGAGCCCCTGAATCCGAAAGCGTCAGTTTCATCCCTACCCCATCCTAAACCCTAAACCAGACCGCAAAGCCCCACATCCCGAACCCCCGACCTCCACGTCAAAGCAACCCAAATGGGAGTTTCCCAAAATAGGGGACCTTAATATAGTACCCCAAATAGTAGGATCCTTACTATAAGGACCCCAAAATAGGGTACCCCTAATTTTCGGAAACCTCCAAATCCCGAAACTCGGGGGTTTGCCTTCAGTCTGGGCTGTTTGCTCCGTGAACCGCTTATGGAGACCTCAGGCGCCGAAGCCGACAAGGGTAGGGTTTAGGGTTTAGGGCTTAGGGTCGAGAACATTAGGGACTTTGCCGACAAGGCTTACCTTTGGTTAGTAGGGAATGGAAGAAGGGTAGCAATAGTAGTTATAATTCTACCCCATTCCTCCATTCCCTACTAGCCAACGGTAAGAAGGGTCGAGAGTTTCGACATTAGGGACTTTCGGGGTGTCGAGGGGTTCATGGGGGCTGGTATAACGACTCAAGACATTCGATAGCCTGGGGAGTGCAGCTCTGCTCCAAGATCCTCTAATGACATCAGGCCCATGACTACCCATGCCCAGCTTTCCAAGCGCAAGAACAGTGCAAGGTGTTGCTCTCAAGGTCCAGCCACTTGCTCAAATAGACGGCAGGCGTCAGAATGCTTTTTCGCCGTGGTTGCATCGCCGGCTGCGGAAGACGGCCTCCCAGGCGCCTGACATTCTATTAGGGTTTAGGGTTTGAGATTTTTCAGCATCCTGGGAAAAGTTGCAGAACATGGGCGACGAAACGACATACATCCTGAATAGGGTCCTTGCGACAAGGGCCTCTTTCAAACGACCATTTCAAGAACCGCCTAGCGTCGCGGACGAAGCTCCAGAAATCTTGGACCCCGGAGGCCCCAAAGCTCACGGCTTTCGAGGCTTTGGGTTTGGGCTGCCTGCGCTGCTATGAGATGAAGCCCTATACTAAAACCCCTTAACATCCCTGAATCTTACGTGTATGCTTCAGCATCGAAAGACTACACCCGTCAGACCACAGACAGAGCTTCAAAGCAGCTCCTGCTACTGCCAGAAATGCCCAGCTGCGGTGCGGAAAGCAGACGAAGCGTAGGGGATATAGACTCCAATGAGATGCAGAGTAGGAAGCAAAAACGCCAGACCTACAACCCCTCTTCAACCATGTTTGGGTGGTACTGCATCTTTCCTCACACCAACCTAGGAAGCACTGCTTTACTCCTAAAGCTTCGAGTCGTAAATAGCAGGGCGTCAGACGAGAAATCAGCGACAAGCACATGAAAAAAGAGCCCACATAATCCCGTTCGCGCCTATGCTTAGACAAAGCTATGGACTCACCTTACGACATAGATGTCCAGCGATTCCTACCAAGTGCATTGCTAGCAACCCGCCTGCATCAAGTAGAGTAAACGTACATAGCTACAAGAGGCCGAGGCAACTCCCAACCACCCAGAGACTGACCTGAACAGACCCCTCACTCCAACAGAACCTACGGATTATGAGAACCCCCATGAAGGTCCCCTCCTCTAGCTCTAGGGATGCAATGTACGGCCTGCCTAATAAGTCTAGTCATCATGAGATGCAATCAATCAGGACCCCAAAGGAAGAGTACTACTGGATATTCAAGCTTCTTTCAGACCGACCTCGGTCGGGATTCAACCGAAGGCAGCGCTCAGCACGCCGAAATTCGGCGCGCAGGCGGCAGTTCCGGAAAGGGCTGAGGTAAGGCCTTGGGCGGAGGTGGGCTAAGGGTCTAAGGCAGCCAGAGGGCTTGAGGTTTAGGGCTCATTGTTCAAGGTTTAGGGTCCTTTTGGGCTCAGGGTTTAGATCAGGTTAGATCCAAGTCTCGGGGCTGAGGATCCCAAGTTGAGGGACGCCGAGGGCTTAGACTTTCGGAGTAGGATATAATATAATATAATATAATATAATAGGACCTTGAAGTTTGAGGTATGGGGCTTTTCAACAGTGAGGACTCGAAGGATGCGGGCGAGTTCTACCTGTGGGTGGGGGAGAAAAGGGAGTTTCTGAAACTAGGAGACCCTGATATAGTACCTTAAATGCCTGAATAGTAGGATCCTTATCATAAGGTGCCCCGAATTATCGGAAACTCCCATACGCGAGCTCTCGGCATGGCGGTTTGAGATTAAGTAGTTGAGACAGCAGTCATGGCAGGGTTTAGAAGTCGACCCAAAGCAAGTACAGCAGAGAGCTCTGACGGCGGAAGGGCTTAGGATTTGGAATCGTTTCCAATAATAGTGCACGAAGACCCTGGAACCTTACTAGCCTGGCCCCAAACCGAGCACCGCTTTTTGATCAGCCCTACCTAATGCGAGATCGCACAACACGTGTGCTTGGCACTGGGACCAAGTGAGCTCAGAGGGGATCTGTACAAGTATCCCTCCCCTGAGGCTTCAGAGTAGGGGGATGTAGGAACCTGATCCAGAACCTTCTGTTTACTGGTTTTAGCAGGGCTCTTGAGACGGACCCGGCTATTTTGATCCTTGGGGCTCGTAATCAGGTTCTCACATAAAAGAAACGGAAGGCTGGACAAGTTCCAGCTCCATCTTAGACCTAACTGTGCCCCGATCTTTACAGGGAGAGTTCGAAATCAATCTTTCAAGCATTGCGCAAGAATGCTCCGGTGTTGGAATGGTTGAAAAGCATGTCCATCTGCTTTGTAGAACTTGCTTTGGAACTCCACCCAATGCAACCGGAGGGTGTGCAGGAAGCATTCCTCACAGATCGGGTGAAGCACGAGCTCAGCAAACAAAGCTTGCCCTACGCTTGCAAACTCTGTCTTTAGAATAGGGTTTGGGAGCCCATTGTAGATTAAACATAAAAAGGAACCCCAAGAGAATAGTATTGGTACGTATTTAAGCCCCTATCGTAGCCAAGGGCCCTGCCTACAACACATGCAACAAGCAAACCGTACTGCTGACTTCTGAAACAAAGCTCCATCACGTCCATGCCACCCAAGATTGCCAGCGTCACACCAAACCACAAAGCGAAGCAAAAGTACATAGCCTCAACTGACATGAAGATCGCGGAGGGGCGGGCACCATCTGGCCTCTGTCTTCAAGAAGCCAAACTACTCAGAACAACAATGACAACACCATGCACTCTAAACCTGGCAATCGCAGCGATTAGTGTTATTGCCTCAACGCCAATTCCAACAGCATTGTAACAGGAATGCAGACTGGCCATGCCTCCATCATCCCTCGGCGAAGCCTGTACTCCTCTACCCTGGCATCTAGTGATAGTGGGGAGACCCGATGAGAGGCCAAACTCTCAAAGCCTCTTAGAGCTTTGACTCTTACACTCGGCCCCACTAGGCTTGGAAGTTCAAGGGGTCACGTACGCCATGGTAGCGGGAAAAATCGCACCATCGTCGAAGCTAGTACCAGTAATCATCGGAATAATAACAAGGGCTATGATCCCAATTGATGTCGTGGAGAGCAAAGGTGATACTGCCAGTGCTGCCATCAGCTTTTTTCATGCGAGGCACGAGAATTGTCAGGTCAATGGGCTCGCATAAGTTGATGCTTGCCATTTTCATGTAAATACATGTATCAATGAACCCTTGTTGCAACTGGCTTGCAACGTCAATGAACCCTTTTTACACCTGGACTACGCAACGTCAATGAACCCTAAACCCTGAAACCCGAGGAAGTCTTCGACGACTTCTGAGGGCATGCTTTCCCGCTTCTCGAATGCCCGTTGTGCGAGCCGCAGGGCCAGCGGGTCAGGGTAAGATTGCTTGAAACCGAAACTCATGTAACGTAGGGGCCTCAGTATATAAATAGAATAGGGTTTTGGGGGGTTCCATATCAAAATTATATTCAGTATGCCCCAAGCCCTGTTCTAATGATTAGGGCCCCTATAGGAACAGATCCAAGCTACGAAGATGTTCAGTGGCAGCGGCATCGCCATACCAGAGAGGAGAATTAAGTTGAAGAAGACGAGGGAGAGCTGCTGATGCGCCAATGACAGTGCCTGCACATCTCTTGGCAAGAAGCTTGGGAACTGCATTTACGTTTATGCCCTAACAATATTTTAATCGATCCCTTATTGCAGCCCCCTTGAGGACCCCCAAGGAGCCCGCCCCTTCAAGAACACCGGCACAGTTAGATGCGCTGTCGAGCTGCCCAGAGTCGAAGGTATGATGCCGTGTGCGACACCGTCCCGAGAACGAACTCAATGGTCTCGATCACCTCGCAGAGTCCACCACTGAACCGCGCACTGCTCATGATCGACAGACGAGCCTTGAGGAAGCATAGGGCATATGCGATGGTGACGGGAAAACACTCATAGACTCACACTCGCACACTCTCTCGCTTTGCTTTGCTTTGCTCTGGGGCTTCGAGGGCCGGCAGTCCCTACCCCACGCTCCGTGGAGTTGCCCAATCCCATCATTTTGACACACACTCTCTCTCTCTTTCTTTCGCCAGGGTTGTGGTGACGGGGTTTCGTTTCCCCCCTCACCGCGCGCATGTGCGCCCCCGACTGTTGCGGGTGCCAAAGGGGCTGAAGGCATCTCAGAAAATACCCGCGCTGAGTGAATTACAAGGCCTCAAATAGGAGGCCAGATCTCGAGGAATTTGGAGGCTCCAGCGGCCCGTCAGGATTAGCATACAAAGTATGGTACAAGGGTTTGACCCCAAACTCGGAATGGCATGAATGGAGAGAAAGTTCAGCATGGATCCCAGCTGAGCCCCAAGGGTTTTACCCCTACTAGTTCACAGAAAGAGACAAAACTTCTTGCATGTCAGCACTCAGCGGTGGGGCAGGCCACTTAAGCTAGACCAGCAGTGGAGAAAGACGGAATCGCATACAGAAACTCATTACGAGGACATCCCTTTTTGCTAGCAGCAGCCTGACGTACAGGGGCTTCGCCCCAAAATCTACCACAGGGCGGCATCATGTCAGGGCTTATCGTCTTCTCTTGCTGGTTTGTTTCCATCCACGTTCTCGCTTCGTGCCCACATCTGGCTGCCATTGCCCTTTGCTTCGTTGTTCTCGCCGATGATCTCGGTACTCTTGTTTGCTTGCAGCGCGATAAGCCTGCCACTTCTCCTGGTCCGTGGCGAAGTCGTCCAAGTTGTAGGGTGCGCGGCCATGCTCATCACGTTGCTGCAACAACTGTTGAAGCCTTCTCTTCTGCGATGCTGTAAGCGAGGATGGTCTCCCCGTCGGTGAGGCAGGAGCCAAGTTCTCCTGTGGCGCGGATACCTCTCCATCGTTCCTGTCCCAAGCGGGGGCATCCCCGTGCTCAGTGTAGTCGGGTGCAGCCGGTGCAGTGTTGTCCTCAGGAGCGAGGGCTTGCAGCTCGGCGCCATCCTCGAAGATGTCGATGGGCGGGTGAAGACTGAGGTGAGAGGCTGAAGTCACAGGCGACTCGGCTTGGAGCTCACCCTGTGGAGACGGTGGGTTCTCAACTTGGGTCTCTTGGTAGTCCAGCATGGTCAGATTCGCAGTCTCATCCTGGTCCTCGATGTAGGCTGGGGCCATTGGTGTAGCTTGCGGTACGGCACGGGCGGCACCAGCTTGGTGCGGGGAGATTCCCCGAAAAGCTCCCTTGGCGGCTTGGTTGTCACCCTTCGCTGTGCTCGAGGTCATGCTTTGTGGAGGTATATCTCCTTCCGTCTTCACGGCGGAGTCCACCGTGGGGGCGAGCAAGATGTCATCCAAAGCTTGTCGTGTGTCAGTGTCGTCCTGGGTTCCGCACTGCCAGTTCGCTAAGGCCTTGTCAAGCAGCGGTCGGATCTTGTCCGGCTGGTTCTCGATGTAGTTGCGGAGGTCACTGGCTGCACGGGGTCTGTTCTCCAGGTTGAGCCGCAGGAGGCGCTCTCCTTCTTTGGTTGTGGCGCGGCACTTGTTCACGTGGTCCTGGTAGTTTTCGAAGTCCTTCCATTCATGCTCTTTCAACGGTCGTTTTTTCCCCCCTTTCCTCACAAAGTACCTGCCTTGGTTGAGGTCATACCGGACGTCACGGTCGCTCCATTTCTGTTGCGGCTCAGGGGCCTCCGGGAAACGAAGTCTGAGCCCCAGGTTGTCGAAGGTCGGTGGTGGTCGTACCGGTAGCGCGAGGTTCTCGTCTTCCTCGCCTCCTGCTGGGGTTTCCCCCTGCGTAGCCGTGGTCTCGGTCTTGGGCTTGCGGCTTCCAGCTGGCCTAGAGGAGGAGGCAGAGGCCGTCATGGAGGTTTCCCCCCTTTTCGTCATGTGCCGCTTAGCCCTCCAGCAAGTTGGACGTAGGCGTGGATATAATTCACAGTCTCCCCTCTCTCTCTCTCTCTCTCTCTCTCTCTCTGTTCCCCTTTCTCGCTCTCACCTGATGCACGATGCAGTCGGAGAAATCAAACTTGTCGTCCTGCGCGGCCTGGTAGTGCATTTGCATGTTGAACACTTAATTGATGCTCCAAATGGGTTGGGTGCCTGGCTTTGGGTTCTGCACAGCACGACGCCATAAGCATGTCCTTCAATCTGCGCCACCCTGCCTCATGCAAGGGTTGCTGTTCGACGTCCCGCAGCCTCCCGAGCACACACGCGTTGCCATGCCGCTGCATGCGAAGGTCATTTTCTGAGAGCTCCATTCTATGATGTTGCTTGTTGATTGATGTTCATCGAAGAAGTTTGAACCCTAATTTAAACGGGCCTCACAATTAGAATAGGGTCTGGGGGTATATGGATATATGATGGTGTGCAGATATGCCTTTGAATATATATATATAGAGAGAGAGAGAGAGAGACAAAAGAAGAGAGACGAAAGGAATCTTAAGGAATAGTATTACTAAATATTCGACTGGCGTTTCCATTAGTATTAAATTGTGTTCTCATTCACATGTATAGTGATACTTCTTGTTGTCATCATCATGACTATGAGCAGTAGTAATCAAAACAGCAATGGTGATTGCATAGCAATAGCACCATTGCGACAATGGCTAATACTATCATTCATAATATACTTATTGCCATTGCTGCGGCGGCGGTGGTGGTGGTGGTGCTGCTGCTGGTGCTGGTGCTGGTGCTGGTACTTGTTGTCATATTCGTACTCGTGCCCGCGTCAGCACATCGACATTGGTGTTACTTTGATCTTATTAGCATTAGTCCGTGAATTAGTATCAATGTCAGCAATAGTATTATTACTGTCAGTCTGATTGTTGTTGTTATTCCTTCTATATTGTCCCATAATTTTGGTCTTGTACGTGTGTATATGTATGTATGTGTATGCATATATATATATGTATATATATATATATATATATACCTGTATGTCTGCATGTGTACATGTGTATACAGATATGGATAACAAGCTTTTGAAATACATGTATAACAGACAAACATTTCGAATATGTTGATATGCAACTATGTAAATGTCACTATATCGTAGATATACACATGGGAGTTTCCGAACATTAGGGGTCCTTATATGGGGGTCCTTATAATCGGGATCCTACTATTTAGGGGTCCCCTATTTTTGGAAACCCCCACATATAGCAGGCCATCCTCTGAGGCCTCAGGTGTCGCGCAGGGCTTTGCGAGCCCATTGTGAGAAGAACCGCCTTGGCGTACAGCTGGCCGAAGACTTTTGGGTTTCGGGCTCGGGACATTGGGCGTAAGGAAAGGGGGATGTCGGGCCTAGGGAAAGGGGCTCTGATGGACCTTCATGAGCTAAGTACAGTGTTGCGGTGTGGCCGTTGCGGATTATTTCCAGAGGAGGCATATAGCGTAAAAAGGAGCCCTTTCGCTCGCGTGATTTAGTCTTTCCTGAAGGGAACCTTTATCATATCAGGAAGGGCAACACGTACGAGTTGCACCTCTCTTTTGCAAACATCTGTCGGTTCAAGCAAGTACTCGCACTGATGTGCTACCAGCTCGTCTCTCGCACCTCCAAACGTGTAAGAGGCACAGAAATCAGACGTCTGGCTAGCTTGCCGTCGAGCGGCCGGGCGTCTGCACTGCTCCTCCGCATTTAGCGACTCTGGTACTCGAAAAGAGTTTAGGTTTCCTCGTATAATGGCATTCGGGCTCCTCCGCTGCTTCTTGCCGCTGCCGGTGTTTGACCCCTCGGATAACATGGCTCAGTGCAGCGATGGTATTGCATGGGCTGCAGAACGTTTCTGCTGCGGAGTAGCTGATTATCTTGAAAGCACCTCACCTCCTGAATTGCATCCAAGTTGCAGAGATAGATGGGCTTGGGCACCCTTGGCAGGTACACTGTCCATCCCAAGCAGCTGGCAATTTAAAAGTCGAAGCTTCGCAACGGTTCTTTTGCTTAGGGTTTTGGGTTTAGGGCGCGTGCAGATCCGGGCGGCAACATAACGGGAACTGCGAGAAGGCAGATCACCATTAATCCTCGAGAAATCGCCTTCAGGTGTTTTCTAACACAGAAATAATATATAAATATGAAATCAAGAACATATACTAGTTTTTATATGGTCAATAATGTCTGACAATGGCATCACAATGAACTACAGTGTACAAATATTAAAAAAAAGTTGCCGCTGGCAGAGTCGTGACACAGCATGATGCAAGTCCTGTAACAGGCCCCGCCTCGCTGAACATGCCATTTGGATCATCGGCGAAAGATGCCATCGCGATCATAGAGTTGATGATGCTCGGGGCTGGGTCCATCGGCGTGACCCACTTGTACAGAATCATATAGTCCATGTAGCCGAACAGGCCTTGCCGAGTAAGGCAAAGCACGAGCAAAGCAATGAAGCAGAACCACCACCTAGCCACTAGTCAAGGCAGTCTCTGTTCACAACTGCCAGAACTGCGATATTGGCGATGATGGTTTCATTACGCTTTCATTACATTCCACTGCATGTCTGCACCGAAGGCGCCGAGCATGAAGAGGATCATCGGCAGACATTCGCAGACGAGGTCCATCTTGCAGCCCTGGTAGATGGCATTAGCTGTTCGCAGCAGCAAGCCGGCCATCATCTGTGCCACACCGAGAAGCACCGAAACCTTCATCTTCAGCGAGTTCATGTACACCAACTCATTCCTCGGAGCCAACTATGGACAGAAAACTCAAGTCACGAAGCCCCCTGCTACAAGCAGGCATAGGTTCTGTGGCTGCTGCGCCAAAAGAACTGTACCAAACGTTTATGCAAAGCGTCTGTGCCCCATGCCATGCAGGATCCACTCCGAAAGGGTACGGTCCCCTGCCTCCCGTGTTCCGGGTGTCGTAAAGTGGCTCCAGCTTGACCTCCGCTCCGGGCCTGGGGGTTGAGAATGACAGGGTTTGACTTTAGACCCTGGGTTTCAGGGCTGAGGGTTTCGGGGATAGAAATAGCAGTATCGCAATAGTTGCTATGGGATGATTATAGGCTTGTCGCCGTGGCCTTTCGTGCTAGTCAGCTAGTCCGCACACTTTGGTGCAGACACAGCTTCCGGGCTAGGAGGACGTCCCTCCGCTGGCATTTCAAGCTGGGAAGCTACAAATACATCCGGTGGTTTACGAGGGTGTCCAGCCTGAGATTAAGAAGATGTAGCTTTGATTAGGGGTTTAGGGTTTAAGGTGATGTCCCAGGAAGGTGCATATAGTGGTCAATGCTGGGACGTCGAATCTATAAGTGAGGCAAGGGACCAACGTCAATTAGACAATAATATATTCCTGCCTGGCTTCTTGCAAGCTTCTCGACTCCCGCTGATTCAAAAGGCGTGTTCCATGCCATCACATGGACGTTCTCCGCAGACGTTAATGGTACCCATGCTTATTGCACTTTAGGGATTTATGGGCGGTTTCCAGCCGGCTGTGCCTCCCCTCCGGAGTCGACCAGCGAGATGGGAAGAAGCACAGGCCGACGCTGAAGAAGTCATTGTATAGCAGACCTGACAGAAGTCTTGAACTCAACAAATCGCCCTCAGCCCGTCATTCCGCAGCAAGCAGGTCGTTTTACAATCTGCCTGGCTGCCGGAGCCTTGATTCTGCTGGCTTTGGCTTGCGACTTGCGTGTTTTCGGGGTTCGGGTGCTGCTGTGTGGGCGATCAACTGTCGCCACCATGGCCGAGGCAACAATCCGTCTCAGGCTCTCTGTTGCTTGCACTTTCTGGCGACCAGCAGACAAACAGGGCTCACTCTCCCACAGAACTCCCGCTCGCTGACACATGCAGTGAATGAAGCACTCCCTGACTCATTCACTTGCTGGATCAACCACCCCTCACTTGCGCACAGCGGCTAGCTAGACCCTCTTCACTGTGCGGGACATGACATGCCATCTAATAACACCCTGTATGTCTAACACCTAACCTGCGACAAACAAAAGCTTTAATGGAATGACGCTACCAAAGCTTTGCCACATGCATCACGGCTGCCGCAGTACACCGAGAAAATCCCCATGAGAAGCACCAGATATCGCGCTCGGAAGAGGTCAGGTAGGCTTTCTGCAGTTTGCGACCGGAAGCTCCATATTGCAATCGAGAGCAACATCATCCCGTGCCCGACATCACCATACATCACGCCGAACAGGAAGGGGAATGTCACGGTTGTGAACAGAGCCGGGTTGGCTTCGCGGTAGCGCGGGACACCATACGTGTCCACCAGCTCTTGGAATATGCCAGTGAAAGCATTGGCTTTGTTGTAGGTTGGGGCCATCTTGCCTGCCCGTCCTCTGTCAGGAATCAGCATAGCACTGGCGCTTGTGAAATCCATCGCGAAAGTCGGAGCGGTCCTGAAATGAAATGACAGGAAGCACTAGTACCATCATCTGATACTACCACTGCTACTAGTACTGTAGCTTTACATTTTAGTACTGCTGTCGCTGTGCTTATTGTTGCCGATACTTGCTACAAGCCAACTGTACTAGTTTACTATGCCACCTGTCTGCAGCCGTCCACGTTCCGAAGGGACCGAAGCCTACATTGGACCGTCTTGGGCTCAGGGTTTTCGGAGTTGTCTTGGGTTCCGAAAACGCTCTTGTCACGTGTCGTCAACAACGAAACGAAGTGAAGGACTGCAGCTCTGGTTTGCAAGCTGGAACTGGTATAAGCCAATACCCCTTCATTAAAAAAGAGACCTTAAACTGTAAGGGGGTTCATATTATTATCTAAGCTGTATTCCTTCATTAAGGGGTATTGGGCCCAGTGTCGTAAGCAGAGATCGAATGCTGTCTTCCTCGCAGCATGCATACCAGCAGCTGGCTCGCAAGCTGTTGTTTCCTCGGTCAGGTGCCACAACTGACCCCCGATGCATGCAAAACCTGCAACAGCATCCTGAATCGCAGCCCACGGTAAACGGACTCACTTGCATAAACCCGGCACTGACGCACTTACGCTGTGCTATATTATGTTAACTAATACTAAGCACTATGTCTGTAGTCTATACATATATATATATATATATTGATATTGATATTGGCTATATAATATATTACCGTGTAGTGTACGTCACGTGGTATACTAGTATAATGTACGGTGGCTCAGGGCAGACCTCGATCTGCGTTGACACAACATGCTTGGAGGATCATGTGGCTTCATAACTAAGACGCAGCTCAGACATACGGTAACAGTAGTTGTTAGTTACTTAACGCCGCAATTTGCGGTACTATAACCTCACTGACTAGTCTCATGACCCTCCGAGCAGGAAGCTTACAGATTACAAGTAATCCTGGGCTGTGCCTTGGCAATCGAACTGAAACTTTGAAACTTCGCACGCAGCTCTTCGCCCAGAAAGCGCCTAAGTGAAGGGCAAGGCATGAAACCTTCAACCTCGAAGCTATTTTCTGCGAAGGCACCCTCGAAGCAGTTTAGAGTGATGTAGATGGCTTTCTCCTTCGCACAGAAGAATCGCCACCTGACTTGAGGGCTTTTTGGTGTGCACCCTGGGACTTGAAAAAAAATCGCTTGTGAGGCAGCACGCGCAGCATCGCACAGCAAGACCCCACAAACAGCTTTGGGACCGATACTTCCGACGTAAGCCTGCCCTATCGGGTTGATGGATGTGTTACCTCAGCCTTGGGCCTTTGTGCAGCCGCCTCGCAGAAACCCCCCTGGACTGCGTAGTTTTTGGATAGTTGCACGACCTCACAGCACATTTTTTACTCGGTGAACGCTGAAGTGCTCATGGCTGCAAGGAAAATCTAAACCTCGAAGTACTCTAAACCCTACACCCTGCTAACCCTCGAGCGGTCTATATAACCGTGCATGATTGCGGTGTGCCATGGCATGATACAATGTGAAAACATAATTGACATAACCGCGTATACCATATACTATAGCTATGATATAGGTATAGTTAGAAGTATGATTACATAACTATGTCATACTTATATTCAGACTTATATTATATAGCGTGCACAACCAGGCTGCCGAGAGGCTCCTCTAGAAGAGAGCTGCCACCCGGCCGAGGTGCCAGGAGGAGGCCCCTGGCCTCGTGGAAAATTGGAGCTTTCAGGTGCATGGTAGGAAGGGGGAGGAGGGGGCGAGGGGGAGGGGGAAGGGAGGAGAGGGAGGTAGGCTTTGCAAGTTTGGCTTGGCTATTGGAGCCGCTTATGAAATTAACTTGGGTAGCGTGTGTACTGTATGGTGCAATTTTACAAGGAGCCGACGAACAACCTAAGTTTACTCGCAGGACTTTGTTGTTCGGGTCGTGAGCTGCGGATCTTCGATCTAGGGGGCCTGGAAAGCTTTGGGAAAGTAGTGCGGAGAGGGTATTCCTGCAACATAAACGTTCAAGCACGGTCGCCTTACAGAGGGTGCCGTACTCAAACACACCTCTTACATGCGCCCTCCGGCAAGCGGCCCTCGCCTGGAAATTCCACCCAACTTAAACAGCTGGTACTTCTCAGCTGGTGGTCAGCCTCGTCTTGAAGAAAAAGCTCGTGCTCTTGCAGCAGGCGCGACTGATCCTGCAAACCAGGTCTTAGAAACCAGGGTCCCGAGCACAGGGTTCAGGGCCACTTTAGACAGCAGTACATGAAAATCTGGTACTACGACTCACCTTATCAAGCCACATAGACTTGCATGCCCGAAAGATGAACCGTGCGGCCTGGAGCTGCTCCTGCAGCTGCGCACGCCGCTGCTGTGCGGCCGCGATACTCCGAGGCCAGGGATAGAGTGTCACGGCGAAGCTGGAACCTCGGTGGAGGCGGAAAAATGGAGGCTTTGGGCTTTGTTGAGGCTTCTGGGACCGTATAGGGTATCCACGACGGATGCTCTGAGTGTAGAAGTTGTGGTGGCGAGCTCTGGCAAACACATGTCTTTAAAATCATCCTAAGTTCGGCCGACAACAGTAGCAACATCATCTTTCGATTGAACACCAATTGAACGATACACACTGTCATCACGACCATCATCATGAGCAGTATCATCACCCCCACCATGTTACCAGCATCTGGACGACCATCGACATCAGCACTATCGGCCTCCATCACCGCCATCATTGCAATCGCCTGCATTCTGACAATCAACCATACTCAATCGTCATGCCCATCTTCCTCATCATCTTGATAGTAACCATGGTCTTGAACATGGCAGGACATGATCTAGCGGAACTAGTGCGATGATAGTCGCAGGAGGAGTCGTAGTAATCGTCATCGTGGGGTTGTGGGAGGGATAGTGGTAGTTCGTTGTGCGTGGTGCGTGGGTAGTGGTACGGGTATAGTGGCGAAAGCAGCAGAAGCGCAAACGGAAGAACTAGTGGTTGTGCTGATGCTACTGCATATGGCCGAGATTCAAATTTTGTTGATCTTCTCGCGCATCGCAGATGAAGATCCGGTTCCTCCTTGATCTTGAAAGTAGGTGACAAACACCTCTGCTGCCACTGTCTGTGAGCTCTGCGTTTGTGGCAGAGGGAGGTAAAGCTGCAAGGCGTTTGGTCTAAGACTGCGTACGAGTGCATGCGACAAGCAAGTTGACAGCAATGCTGCACATAGGCGTGCGACGACATAGAACGGCGGCCTCATTACTCAAAACCGGGTTTTATGGGGTATATCATACCATGAATATGTAGGGACTATAGGAGGATGCGACTAATTCATTACAAACTGATCATCATCCTTGTCAAGGCTCTGACTTCGCCACTGGCTGACCACCATCCACATCCGGTATGGGCTCTGCAATTGGCTGGAAGTGCGTGAATGCGTTGCCTCGCAAGCAGTCTCTTGCGCTTAGAACTTATGATGGTTCAGGACTTAGAGTCTTAGAGTTTTCAACGTTGAGAGTTGAGAGGTTATATACCTCTCCCTGGCTGCGCCAAGAAAAGAGAGCAGAAGGGTTACTTCACATTTCGTGGCTGTCGTAGTCGCAAGCTGGAGGTCTCGGCTTCCGCACTAACACAGCGGCCTTAATAACTATCAATACTATTTCGGGGGTTCCTTACTATAACACAGTATAACATGCCCCAAAACTCTGTTCTAAGTAGTAAGGCCCCTATACAATTACCAAATAAATGTTGAAGTATCCTTGAAACACAGCTCAGCCTACGGCAGCCCTGGCCAACCTCGCAGCCCAGGGGCAGCACCCTTGTTTTTCAGGGCATGGGGCCTTTCCGTACACTTAGTCTTACGCAGTGCCAGTTGTAGGGATCATGATCTCTGCAGACTGCAGAAGAACAAAACCTTATTTGGAAGTCTACCGAAACTCTTCTTGAGACATGCTGCCTCTGCTCGCGCGAAAGAGAGCTCGAGCAAACCGGTCCTGCTTTGTGGGTCTTACCATGACCTAGACTTACGGGGCAAGGGGGGTGGTCGAGACTTAGTGACAAACAAAACTGGCGCAGAAGGAAGGCGAGAGGGCTCCATGTGGTTGCAGTTGCTCCAGGACACATGGGTTGCGTAACCGGAACGGGTGTCCGAGAAAACCAAACGCAGCAGCACGCCTAAAGCCGTCCAACCCCAAAAAGGTCCTGGATCTCCACAGGCAGCACCCCAGCAACGGCAGACAGCATGGAATTATGGGAAACCGGACCTCTGGCAGATCGACTATTGACTGGATGTGTGCTTCAGGGTGAGATTAGAAAAAGAGTTGAGTACGCAAAAGGTTATGCTTTAAACATTGCTAAACTAAACCTGGGTTTGGAAAGCTTTTTACGACTGTAACATGCGCGGATGGATTTTATCGGTGTTTCAACCTAGGGGTTACCTATGGATGTCGTAGGGTCTTATGGTTAGGATCTCGAACAACCCCTGGATCTTGAAACTTGAAGTGCAAGCCTCGGATTTCCAAGGGTTGGACATGTCGGGGCAGACCTCTACTCCACATGCGAGACCCAACGCATGCTGGATCTGCGGCACCTTGCCACTGAGAATAACAACTTGGTTGTTCTGCACAGCACCAGAAGCTGAAACAGTGGCGTGCGACATAGGCAATAAAGAAGAGCTTCTGCATAGTATCCATGGTCAAAGGTCGAAGACTTCCAAAACGAAAAGGTGCATAAATAAATGATGCCAAACCGTACACAACTCGACGCAACATATGAGTCACGCGTTCAAGGAGAACATCACAGAAGCGTCGTACACGCGATCAATCGAAACAAAACGCCCTGAAACTACCGAGGAGCTGGGGTCATCGCGAAGCCGACGGGATGCCCCAACGATGAAGGGATCCTACACTCGTAAGGGAAAAGGAGGGACCCTTAATGGGGACCCCTACCCTATAATGGGCTATATAATGGGTATATATAATGGTTATATTAAGGGTATATGCCTAGGGGTCCTTATTAAGGGTGCCTCCTTTTCCCCTTTGATACACCCGACGTCCATGGCTTCGAGGTGTGGGTTTCGGGATTCTGGCTTGTTGAGAATCTACTGGAGGGGCCTGAATAGTTGGAACAGAGGCAAGTACAATAGGGCCAATAGGGAGCCCCAGCGAATAGAATCAGTCATTATTATGCTTTTAGCTTAGGCCAGGCGTTCTCGCACCCTATAACCTCGCAAGGCCTGGTCCGGCAAACCCTAGCCGTAGACGCCGTAGACTCCATAAGGTTCAACATGTACTTGTAAAGCTTGAGTCAGAAGGTCCTCGCCCGGAGATGGCCGACCTTCCTCTGCAATGGCCGGTTCTATCTGAGCGGAAGCCTTGCTGCAATCGCACGGAAATACACGGCTGGACTTGCTTTCAACTCATCTTTACACCATGACCGGCATTAACGCCAGTACTCGGAAGCTCTAGAACCTTCCGCAGCTCAGGCCTCTCCAGTGCACCCCTAGCAACGGTACCGCAAGGGCCAGGCCAAGGCAGCTTTGCACTCGAGGACCCAGTTCAGCCAAGCAGCCACCTTCATCACATGGCTTTCTTCCAAAGCCCCGTTTCGCCGCCGAATGAGCTCTGCACCTCCCAGGCTGCTTCTAACTTGGTCGCAGGCGTTTCCGAGAACTCAGCAAAAACATCGTGGTCTCCGTGTGGCAAACTTGATTGCGAAAGATCACGGGATCGCAATTTCGTGCTCAGCCGTTCCAGCCCAAGGCTATTTTGCGTCGGGTCAGGTGGAGCTAAGGTCCCTGCTCATTGCGTAGTAACAGCATAGTGGACCACAGCATTTAGAGATAAAAGTAAGCGGGGGCAAGATGCACTCTCGATGTGCATGGGCATGTCTCCAGGCATGTTCACATATGTATATGTATGTATGTATGTATATATATATATACATATATATATATATATAATTCAACAAATATATACACACGTACATACATGCACACACATACGTACATACTTACTAAACCATGTGCCTATCTGGTTTCCCCGTCATCGTCAAGGTAGGTATGTAGAGACTTGTGGAATCAAGGGCTGCTTGCAATGCCAGGCGCTGCTGGCTTTCAAGTCGGCGAAAGAGTTGTACACATGAGCAATGTTCACCTCGACATGTTCCAGCTTGTACTCATGGGAGTGCTCCAGGAATGAATCGATTCCGAACTTGCTGATGTGGACGCCTGCCCGGCTGGACAAGGTCAGTAGCTCGGGCTTGTGCCTTGGGTGCTTTGGCTTTCACTTTCGGCACAGACAGGTCTTGGGTTCACATACCCTCACTCCTCACTCTCAGATCCGCCCGATGAAGTTCGGGGCTCGTAAGCGCACCGACAAGGAGAGTTGGAAACACGAAGTGAAGAGGGGCATCGAACAGAGGTCAATTCAGCAAGAGTCTGCGGAGTTGACCGCCGAATGAAATCTTCATCACTCATCCTTCCTGTAGACCCAGTCCCTAACCGGCTGTCAACTGCTGTCAACTCTGACTCTGCTCCGCCGAAGCACCACTTCATAGAGGGGCCTCAATAATTAGAACAGGGTTTTGGGGCCCATTCTACTCTAATCTTAATAAGGAGCGCCCAAAATAGTACGGGTAATTCTTAAAGCTCCTCTAGTACCCCGGGTCGGTTTAGGATTTCAGCTCAACGATCCATAGTCGGGGGGTGGGGGGGGTTCATGCCCTTTAATGCAAACCTCGGATTCTAAAGGTGTTCTCTGAGAATCAGAATGTACCAGTAGCAGAACCTTCACTGAAGAAGAAAGGTTGTTGATCACCAGGGGGTACACTATGCGCAAAGACCTGGAATTCGTCGCAGCTCATCTTCGACGAAGCGTAATTTGCGTTCCTCGGATAAGTACCGTGCATTGACAAGGTGCTGGCAGGAATCATTGACGAATTGACTGCGCACGCTATCAAGTCAAGGGTGTCATGCAGTTCGTACATACACGATATAGCTACGGCGATGCTATTATGCACGTATGTAAGATATGCGTATGATATCGCATATACGTTGCTGGAATGAAGTGCAGGCATGTCGCTTCGCTTACTCGACAATTGGCAAATTGGGCAATCCTCCAAACAAGCTGAGGCGCCATCTCGTCAATCCTTTGGATGTGGCCTTTGTATGGCCTTTGCAAGCTCTTCAAGTTCATGTCCTTGCAAGCTTGCAAGGTTTCACTACCCCACGCCCAATGCAAACGACTGTCCGGTGCTTAGTTAGGGAATGGGGAATGGAACATGACAGTAGTCCCAACAATAATAGTCCACATAATTCCCGCGTTCCCTACTAAGAACCAGACAGACGAAACGAAGACTCCATCACAAGCGACGTCCTCAATCTGGATCTTGCAGCGCGCCCCGATCCTCCGACCCAAGGGGCTGCTTAGAGAGACAACGACAGCACAGTCCTAAACCCGAAACCCTGAAGCCTCTAGACCCCCAAAGCTCGAAGACCCTACAACTCTACAGCCCCAAACCCCAAACATCACCAAAAAATCCGAAACTCTGAAACCGCGAAGCCGAAACATGAAGCGAGCAGCAGGTCAACCAAATCACGTGCTCTGGCTGCCGGCAACACAAGGGTTCCATGCTGCATTCGCTCTGAGCGAAGGAGCCCCATGGCAAGGAGGGTTAGCTTTGGGGTTTAGGGTAGTTTGGGTTTGGGGTTTCCTTTGTGACAGGACAACACCAGGCAAGGTCGGCCAGATGCTTTAAAGGGTCAGGGTTTAGGGGTCTTTGGGGGTTAGGCCTTGAGCTGTCGGTTTAAGGTTTATGGTTCGGGCCGGATTTGGACTTAGGGTTTGGGGTTCAATGGAGTTTCCTTGAATTCCCACGACTCGGACGCTTCACGTTGTTTATTGCTTAAATGTTACCGTGTTCTTCATACCATCATCGCTGGCATTGCCCCATGTGCCATGTGGACACGGATATAGAACTGCGGAGATAGCATCAGGTTGGATTATCCGTATGCCACAAATTTGGGGTACCTTTTTCAGGGGTCCTTTGTTAAGGATCCTACTATTTAGGGTACCATAGCAGGGTCCACAATTTTCGGAAACTCCCTTATCCGTATGACACATGCCTCTGGCAATATGTGCGAATTCTGTCAAAGCCCCGAAGCCGGAACAGGCAGCAGAAAGCCGAGATCAAGCAAAGTGCTTTCCTTTCACGGTCTAGGGTTTCAGGGTAGGATTTAAGGTGTTCGGTGATATTCGGAATTAGGGCTTAGCGAGATTCTGATAAACACAGGGAGGCAGGAAGCCGACTTGTCATGTGTAAGTTGGAAACGTGTAGGATCCAGCAAAGTCTGCACTGAGGGCCCTTCTTCTCTAGGATACCCAGTAACCTAAGAATAAAAAGGCCTCTCTTTTTGGTATTGGGTAACTTTATAAGGAACCTAGGACTACAAAAAGGGAATAAGGGTACTACTGGGCATCCTAGTTCTAAGGGGGCTACCAGCCGGACAGCCTGATTGCAGCAGGCTCAATCCTGCCCTGAACCCTTTCGCCCGATGCCCAAGCCTAAAAATATCTTACACCTCAAAGCCCTTGATCCCGAAACCACCCTCCCCTAAAAAAACTAAAGCATCACCTTCTAACCTAGAAACCTGCGATCACTGAGGCACTAGCCCTGCTAAATCCACTCCTGGCTCCACCGGATCTTCCACCTCCGAACACATCTATGGTCGCGTTGGGCGTCTGGCGTGTAGGGATTCAGGGCTTAGGGCTTGCGGGTCTTTTGTTGAGGGGGTGGGGGTGTAGAGTTTCAGGGTTTGGGAAGTTGGGGCTTGCACTCTCACGCTTGAGAGTTGAGCCTGCATTCAGTTCAGCTTTGGGTGGCTGACCTTGCTATGACCATCTGAAAATGCGAGGTGCCGCTTGCACTGTGAAAGCCTTCAGCCCCGAGGCCCTAGTCATACATATATATATATATATGTATATATGTATATATATATATATATATATATATATATATATATATATATATATATATATATATATATATATATCTATATATGCATATATATATATACATATATATATATATCCATATTGATTGATTGGCCACTCGTGCATACGCAAAACATACATGTAGATGCCTGTGGTATGTGTGTATGCTTATGCAACCGGACATCCAGATAGCTACAAGTATAAAAACGAGATAACATGTCCGTCTGTCCCTCTGTCTGTCTGGCATGCGTAAGTTTCTAAAGACGCGTGTCGAGCTCGGAGTTTCTGAAAGTAAGGGACCCTAACATAAACCCCAAAATGCTAGGATCTTTATTGCATCTGAATTATTACTATTGCACAGGCTTAAATCAGAAAACCCCACAACAGGCACTGCATCTTAGAATCCACCACACCGAGACTCCCCAAAGTTCCAAGTAAAGCAACGCGGCCCCCGCCCTCAGCAGTGCCAGCGACGGCTTTGCCAGAGATGGGTGACTGCCCGGCAGCCCCTGACGAACGGAAACGGCTTCCTGCGAAAGGGAATCGTCTGTGCAGGGATGCTTACGGCCTTATTGCTCACCTTTCCATTCCCACGCCCGAGGAATGTAAGAAGATTCAATCTCTGAAGCCGCGCCCAGCCGGAAGCCCGTGCATGCGGTTTAGCGTCTATAGGATCCTCGCCTGTGCAGGCTGAAGCTATCCATCTTTATGTCTCGGGACTTTGGGTCTGTGGCCAGCTACCGTCTGAGGACTGGTTGGGTGACCTCGCGAAACTGACGACTGATCCGTCCACTCCGCTTTAGAGCCAACCGAACGAGTGGAAGAATCACCAAAGCAGAGGACTACCAAGCAAATACCATCCACGTCCGTCCACAATTGAAGCCGGATCCATACCGTAGCTCTTGGTGCTTTCTCTCTCTTCTCAAACAAACGGCCCCAAAAAGTTCAAACTTTGGAAGATAGACTGAATATATACGGCACGGCCACGAAGTTTCAAAACATCGGCTTGAGCAAATTCTTGGCGGATGTATAGATGCGAGCAAGCCCAAAACTTGAAAGTACTGGGAACTAATGCCTCTCAACTAGGGCTACTACTCTTGCTGCTGCTGTTACTACGGCTACTACGGCGACGACTACTATGATGATGATGACGACTTTTGAACCATCAGCATAACCTGATTTACTGTTAAATGCACTGCGGCTGCTACCCTGGTCCTTGCTCCAATTGAAGCGCGAAGCATAGAACCTCACATGCTCATCACGAGAGTTTTGTGCTGTTTCAGGACTGCAAAGTCGACTCTCTTGCTCGGGAACGGCATACGGCATGCAGCTGTAGCTTTTGACTTCAGCCATCTATGTCGAGCGGATGGTCAAATGCGAAGTACCCCGCTGATCGCCACAGAGGCAGACAAACAGTTTTGAGTATTGACACGGGACTGGGGACATGCCTCCGAAACTAACTGTTAGTGTTAAACATGCAACAGCTAGAAAATTACAAAAAAGAAACCCACCGAAGATACCATGCACCGTCCACCCTCTCAGAAGACCAGCAACGTCCCGGCATGTCCTTCTAAATCCCTGCTGCTCAATATACCGGTCGCCGGTAGGATTCAAGGAGGCTGGCCTGTCACAGCAGGACCAGGATGTTCAACGCAAAACCCACCGAAGCCTGCTGTGCACCTTGCTCTTTGCCCTAGGGCACTGGGGTGCCGTGGCATTCGAGCAACTCAACTTCCTGCCGCTTGCCTTGCTGTTTGATAAAGCTGAAATTATGAACATTGGAATCTATGTGTGTATATATATATATATATAGATACATATACACATGTCCGTCTGCTGATATTACAATACTACATTATTCCTGGATGTTGCACACTGCCACTTCAATTTTAAATCGTGCTCTACTATGTTCTGTTTTATAACGTTATCTTAGACTACACGATCTTGTACGATATGCTACATGGTAAGACAACATCTTATAACCAGCTACATACACTATATATGATAAGGTATGATATGGTGTTATGGCATTGTGCTATGCCCAATTATGTTGTGTTGTATTACAACATATTACGCTAGACAAAGCTATGAAATTAAAATGTACTATGCTGTCTATATTTTGCGGTGTTGAATTATGGTATGCCTTGACATATTATACATGATATGTACCGCCGGCTTGAATACGATATGCGTCCAGTCTGAGAAATAGACACAGAGAGTGAGTGAGTAAAAGAGGTGTGGTGATGCTGGGGTATTACTAAGACATGCTGCAAGTCCGGGCAGGTGGCACACGGAAAAAGTGAAGTTCCTCCCGACGTCCCACCCCCTTCACGATGCAAACCACTGCTACGAGGATGGAACCAGTTTGAATAGGCGAGGGCAGCACACCGCTGTGCCCTGGGCAGCATTCTGATTTCTTCCATCCTGCCTCCTTCAGTTTTGGACACAGCGCAACATGCTTCTTCTACCAAAGATCACCCCGCAGGGCTTCAGCCACACAAATCAGAATACATGCCCACACAGCTGCCACCAAACTTGCTCGCCATTCAAGCTCGAAGACTTTGACATGCCTCAAACATGCACCTAGAGCATCTCACTTTAACCAGTTCTCTCAAGTTTGCAAGGTTCCATTCTCGCGATTCTTTAAAGTGTTGCCTTCTTGTGCATGGTCCGACACTCCGACGATCTCCGACCACAAGCGAATAGATGATGTTATGTTACTTTATACTGTAAATTACTCATTATACGATACTGTCTTATGCTATATTAAAATATTTTATTATATTTTAGGAAGCAACTGAGCGTTCGATGAGTTCAGGATTAGCGGACAGTCGGAGCTGCTGCGGCTTCTTGCCATGAATGCTGCGAGCTGCGGTTCACAGCATGCTCAGCAACAGAACAGCAGAGCTGATCTTAAGACACATGCTAGTGCTAGTACCTACATACCTACATGCACCTACTGGCAGTTGTTGAATGTCTCAGATGAAGTTGCGCTGAAACCTCGGCATAGACCTGGAGCTCCTCGCAGGGCTTACGGGCTCACACTCGGACGATCCAGGTGAGGCATGTGGTTCGAGGTCTGAAGTGTGAAATGCCGTTGTAGGAGCTGCAGTAATTATAGGGGATTCTGTAATTTAAGGGTTCCTAGCAGGGTACTATGACTTAGGAGTACAGGTTATCATTATTGGGGTGCGACTGTGGCACTTCTCCTGGAAGATGGACTGGCTGACTTCATATCCTTCTGGTTGTAGGGCCGTGTCAACTCGAGGCGAGTCATCTCCCGCCACGGGTCACTGTCGGCCTTGTAGAGGATGATCGTCACATCCGTGCCATCCGGGTTGATCCGGAACTTGCAGCGGTCCTCTGCGAGTCGTCCTGGCAACTCGTTAGAATAAGCTGTCCAAGCGTAGCCCGCACAATCAACGGCTCTGATTGTGAAGCTGGTCGAGTTGAAGTCTACCTGGACATCGCGAAAGGTCGTGCCTAACGGGCTGAAGTGCTGGGGGGTGATGCGCAAACGGACACGTCCGGCATCCCTTGCGTCGCCCTTTTGGTAGGATGTGGCGCTTCGGGCTCCTGTCAGGGGGGCTGCGTGAGGGAAGTGAAACCGCCTCTGCCTGGGATTTAAAAAATCCTAAATGACCGGACGTCATGATGCCGGTCCAAAAAACAACATGTTTTTCACGGCTTCGATGGTTTGAGGTTTAAACCACCGACATGCTCAAACGAGGCTTTTTACGCATATCGGCATGATAGGGCCTCATTCTGTTCGGCTCTTGTCTTCCTCGCGAAGGAATTACTCAGGTTGTGTCTGATCTGCGACGCAAACTGCTTTTACACGATTCAAAGGACCCCAACTATGAACGGTAGCTTAAGCCAGCTGCCAAAAATCTCGGTCATTCTAAAGTTCAAGCTTAAACATGAACCGTTTTCGGAGCGACCCTGACTCCTGGCTTCTTGCAGTCGGTAATCTTGTCGCATGGAGCATGTCCCTTCATTCCGTGCTTCTCTGGAGTCTCCTGGAGCTTCTCCTGCTTGCCCTCATGCTTTTGTGTCCCATAGAGGCATGCCACGCATGAGGACACGGGATCCGGATGAACTCTCCTCTTTGTCTTCGCCTCCCTCTCTGGCGTGGTTGCCTCACTGCCATTCCCTCCCTCACTCGAAAATTGAGGAGAAAGTGGAAACGAATCCGTGGACTGACCATCGTGGACTTTGGCGAGAGGAGTTTTAGGATCCACGCATACGAGCTGCTGGAAAAAGCCCTGATGTGAGTTGTGCAATACCGCCTTGGCAGTGCTGTAGATGCAGCTGGCCACATCCCCTGAATGACTGAACTCGTTCTTTGGCACGTCATAATCCTCCGAGTAAGCTGCCGAACCTGAACATGTGGTCTTGCCTTCCTGGAGGGGCCCATATGCCAAGGCAGAGGCAAAGTCCTTCGAATCTGCTTTCTGCTCACCTGGCATCTTCAGGCGGAAGCCTATCTCTCTGTCTCGCTTTCTCTCGTTCTCTGCCCAGCTGCATCCCTCCCTCTTTCGTTCCCTCTCTTGCTTTCTTCAGATTTATGGAAGTGCCGATCATAGCCGTGTAACAGTATACTGTACATTCTCTGCAGAATATTGGGCTTGGTTCATTCTTAGACTGGCTGCCGCACCTGCATCTTTAAACCACTCGGACATCTCCTCGAAAGCCTTATCAAACTTCGGAGCGCAAGCCCAGGCCATCAGCCACCTGGCAACTACGAGGATCAAGGGTCCGAAAGCAGAAGAGGTTGAGTGTTTAGGGGGTTACATTGAGAGTTACGATAATGTTTCTCTGGAAACTATACTATATAGGGATTCACGAAGGCTTTTTGCGGTTTGGAGATGAAGTTGTGCCCCTTAGATCCCACCTGGGCCGCCCCGAAGGCGTTAAGAGCGTGCTCCCACGCGCGCGGGCGCGCCCTCCCACTGCGAGAGGAAAAGGCGCTGCGCAAAGAGCATTCGGAATCAGACCCCGGCATGAGATCTGGGCATGCTTAATCCGGCTTTCTGAAGTTGCATAACAAGTTCAAAACTCAACAAACAAGGAAAGTTAACGGTTGCCTTGACAACGATGGCAAGTTAACTCAACTGACCGCAAGAAGCTTCGGTCCACCTGCAACTCGCGAGCACACAAGAATACTGAGGACAAAGCGAGAAGACGCCCGACAGGACCCGGGCGACTGTGACAGTGTCGTCGATGCTGTTTGAGCTTGTCTTGCCCTGCGCTGCCTGCAAGCACCGCCCCGTCATCTGCGAAATTTCAGCTCGCACGCACACAGAGCCTCTGAGGAAAAGCCTGTCTGTCTGACCTTGATAGTCGTGTAGAAGTGGCCCCCTAGCTTAGTTCAGTGAACTTGGCCACTACGGCTATGGGTCAGAACGATATGCCTCAACAGGCGGTCCAAATCGTCAACCAACCAACCCCGACGCCTCTGCGGCACTTTGCTCCTCGCCGGAGCTGGAGAAGGCTGAAAGCGCCTCCCGCCCCTTGGGCTGTACCGAGCCCAGCAAGCCTCCAGGATGTGGATGTGGATGGGCTACCAAGCCGAAGCAGGTCTTTGATGATTCGAACATCTGTCCGTAGGGATTGGGTGCAATTATTTTCGGCCCTAATGATTTTCGGCTTGATCGTGCCAATCTCATGTAGCAGTGAAGTAGCACAAGGAGACTCAGCAGAAGTCGCCGTAGCCGTCGTCGTCGGCACTACTACCAGTATCAGTAGTCGTCGCCATCCTCGAGTCCTAAACATAGTTGTAGTCATCGTATTTGTCGTGACGGTGATGCTGTAATGGTGGTGGCCGTGGTGGTCGTGGTGGTGGCCCTGGTGGCCTTGGTGGTGGCGTCCTTGCTGCCTCCTTCAGTATCAATTGATACTACCTTAACTCGGAAGCCCCGTGCAGGAGCAACATCATGCTGTTCCTCCAGGACAGGTCACTTGACACGTCTTTGTCTGCTCGCTCGCTGTGCTTTCTTCGCCTTCTAAGCCCGACATCTTGCACCGCGGCACCCAGCAGTTTCAGCCGGCTCAAGTTTGGGTCGCCTTGTAATTCCGTGGGCTGGCTCCCAAATGCATTTCAGCGCATGACACCAAATTTCAGCATGATCTTCCGAAGACACTACTGGTTCTTGCCTGTGCTGTGAATACGGGTTCATCGGCCTCGGGTTTAAAACCTAGACTCCCTCCGAATAAGGCTCCTACGTGTCAGATAGGAACCAGGCCAGGTCCAGCTAGGAGCTCAGCAGTGACCTTTGCTTTACTCTCGCCGCCGTGAGTGTGTGAGCAGGAGGACGGAAATGGCAAGAAACTGCACCGGGTTCCAGCCTGCACGCTGCCAGTAGTAAGCCACCATGAGTCCGAAAGCATACCCAGAAGGGTATCCTCGCAAGCAGCGTGTTGCAGGTGTCTCCTGCCACTCTAATTTATGTAGGGCCTTAATAGTTAGAATAAGGTTTGGGGGTATGTTATACTATAGATATAATAAGGAACCCCCAAAACCCTGTTCAAATTATTCAGGCCCCTATGTCATAGTACCCTTATAGTATGCCTTATAGTAACAATTTAATAGACCCCTTTATAGGAACCGTATTCTAATTCTTAAGGCCCCTCTATCATAGTACCCTTAAAGACACTTACTGCGTGGGGGATTGATCTCGACTTGGTTGCTGCTCTCCCCACCAGAGCTGTAATGAATGTAGGTGTGGCTGGCTAGCACTCTCCACAGACTGGACCCTGTCTCTCCCTCTTACTCCCACACGTGCGATCCTATGCAGGCAGAACCGGCGGCCGTTCCTTTTGCACTCACTGCCGGCGGCGGTTCGTCTGTGCAACGGGATAGCTCTGATTGCTCAGGATAGAAGACACATATAGCACTTAGCTATGGGCATTGACTTGAGCCAAACGTTGCGTTGGCGGTCACATAGAAAGGTAAAGATGAGGGATGCGTAGCATGCCCCCTAGAGTCGAGGGACGCGTAGCGTGCCCCCTTCTCTTGCACTTTACACGGTCTTGCTCACAGCTCTTATAGTGACACCTTAGAACTTGACAAGGCATCGCAGTCCGTTCGCACCCCCCATGAGTTGCGTCTCCGACGCTGCTCACCCGGAAGATGGCACGATAGGACAGAAGAAAATTCCGCCGCAACGTTGACATTGAAAATCAGAGCTTTGTATCCCAATTAGAAACGTTGTGACACTCATCTACGTCAGTAACGATCCCCTGAAATGACAAACGAATCAGGCGTCACCGAAGAAAGAAGCATTCGCGATGGCATTCCACGGGCGAAGCTCAGAGGTCACGAACTGATAGGCGAGGAAGATCAGGCGTTGTCTCGCCACCATCTTCGCGTTGACGTAGGATCGCGTTCCCAGGGCCGGAGGTTCTCCTCTGGATATGGGTTCCTTGGCTTTCCTTTGTCCTTGCCTTTGTTTCGGCCTTTGGCGGCGATGTAGTCGTGGTAGGAATTGGTGTTCCAGCCACCATGTTGCTCGCCTCCGGTTCTTCCACGCCCTTTTGAAGGTCCCTTGGATGAAGAAGCGCTTTCACGTTCCTCCGTAGTGACAGGCGTGTCCAGGATGGAAGTACCACCTGGAGGAAGATAGTCAGCGGCCGAAATGTGGTGTAGGGCTTCCGTACGCCTTGTCGTCGGGTTTTGCTGTCTCTCAGTCTTGGATCTGTTCAATCTGTCCATGAAATGCGCAGGCATTTGCACACTGTGGTCCACCAGCAAAGCGATGGTCTGGACTGACTGATCAGAATGAGTCAGCAGAATACCGACAGGGTCGATGTACAAGAAGTCCACCGGTCCAGTTGGCGTTGGTCGTAGCACTGAGAATTGTTGGTGTCCCGTCACCATTGGGATCACCTCGCATAGGACGTTCAGGCAACAAAAGTGCATTGCCTTTACATCTTCATCCCTGTCGCTCTTCAAGTAAGTAGTAGGGCTGAAGTTGTCCCTGCCAATTCCCATCATGTTGGCTCCCCGTACAAGTAAAGAAAGCATCTGGTTCGTCCGGAAGCGCTTCAAGGTGTAAGTCCCGTTGGGATCATACTGTTTGAGGTTCTCAGGCTCCTTTGCAAAGCGAATGATCTCCTCATCAGTCACGTCCCTGCTCACGCCTGTTTCCTTATCCACTGCTGCCAAAGATCCCCACTTTCCAAGCACATCATAGCGTTGGCCAAGTGCGAAACTTTCCCTCATCTGAAACAACGGCATAGTCGCCCACTTTGCGAATCCTGACCAGGCTTTGTAGATGGATCGGCATACCACGTATGCCATGTACGACAGAGCGGTCATGTTCGCGTCAATGCAATGGGCATTTCGCTTTCCAGAATAGTAAGATGGCTGCATGGCGGTACGTGCAAGTTGTAGCTCAGGATCGATGTTCAAAGACTGGCCGGTAATGAAGACGGGACGACGTTCCTGTGCGATTGCTTCCGGAACTGCGTCATCAAAGTCCTCTTCAGGCTCTACGTCCATTTCTTCATCAGGTTCCTGTTCTGGATCGTCTTCCGCGACAACAGACGGTTCTGGGATTTCTTCAGGTTCCGCAACGGTCTCTACCTCCATGGCTTCCTGCTCCTCTTCGGGCGCCTCAGGCACTGCGGCTGCTGCGGCTTCCATTGTCTGAGCAATGAAGTCACTGGGGATCTCCGTAGGAGTATCCCGTTGTGGAGAACCTTGATAATATCCGCTTGAAATGAACTGTGACCAGCAAGACGTGCATCGGGAGAAACATGCTGGAACAATGTTGTAGCATGCCGGGCATACCCTCATTCTCCTTCCATCCTCGTCTCTGCGTAGGTCTTCGGGTCGCCAATTCTTGATGACAAACTTGATTCCTTTGTCCATGTAGTGATGCCGAACCGTGTTCTCCCTGTGGGACTCCAGGACAGTCGTGAGGTCACGAATGATCTGCTCCTTGCTTGTGTCGTGGGGTCCAGGAGGCATCTCGCAAAGCAATTCCATGATCTTGCTTGGCGTTCGGTATCTCTCGAACTCGGGAAGCAACGGTGATGCATTGTAGTCCAACACCAGCTCTTTCTCCAACCTTTCATCGTAGATCTTTTCCACCAGAGCGAAAGAGTGTGTATCTCGAGGATCAGGGACGCAAAACCATACCTCCTTGACGAAATGGAAAGGTATCGTTCGACCAACGATCATGATGCCGCTGTCTGTGATACGTCCATCCTCTCGTGCAAGATCTTGCGATGGGACATGAAGAACCGCCAATGGCATATGCTTGGCGTCTCGTCCGTGTACTCGCATCTTGGTCGTTGCGTTCCGGTGATCGAACGGCGCAAACACCCCCCAATAGCTGTGGAGTCTGCCGCCTTGGTTGCCTCGGAATTGGCGCCTATGGTCGAAGTCCCCGTCGGGGTCCTCCGAACCAGGCATGATGCCTTGCGTGACAATGGAATCCAAGTTGCGGCATGCCGTAGCGTGGAACGCACCTCCAAGACGTTGCAAGAGGGTCATAGATGGAGATATTGCGAACCTGTTCTTGTCCAACTGAAGCAAGTTGTTCTGGGGATCTGAATGCGCAGAGTGACCACTCGTAGCCCGAACTGCCCATGGCTTCACCCAGCCGTTGCATAGGTTCAGGTACCTCTGGCCATGCCGGCAATGGTCGTTGCTCTGGATCTCCGCGATCTGGTCCCGAACTGATACCAACATGTTCGAACCTGCTGATCCAAGAACTTCCGTGCCGGGGTCCTTCACTCTCACACCCAGGAACTGCAACCGAATCTTGGCCTTGTTGCGTTTCGTGGCTGCAATCATGTTCCCCTGGAACAATAGCTGAAGTCTTTCATTGTACACTCTCTTCTTCTGTTGGTCATCGGTCCTTGAGACCCCTTCGGTGATGCGTCTGCTTTCATGGGTCCATAGTGGCTCATGCCTCACCAAGTCTTCGATCAGCACCCACCCTCCTTCATCACATTTGATGACACTGTTGAATGCCACCTGGCACCGGTTGTCAAGCCATTCCGAGCCTGGGCGCCTGGCGATTCTGTGGCGCAAGTCAGACTGGATGCATGACAGCGCCCAATCCGCATTCAACCTGCGCTGACGGGTGATGTTGCGAAGGACAACTTCGTTCACGATGTCCCACCGGTTGTTGATGAAGCTTGCACCCTTGGTTGGGATCAGGTCGAGAATTCCACACCGGATTGGCCTTCCGCCGCCGATGGATTCATAGCCTGGATTGGTGTAGCTGTTAGTGTTCTCGTCGTACACATAGCTAGGACGGTCTCCCCGTTGGGGTAGGCGTCGGTCGCGATGGTCCGAAAGCTGCTCAATGATGTCCACCACTCGCTGGCTATTCTCTGGTCCCGATTCCTGCAGTGGTACGCCACAAGCATCATTTAGGCCCCGACGGTTCTCCACATCCGTGCAGAGATTGTGTTTGTTCTCATAACGGATCAAGACCACATCACCCCGAACGGCTTCGCCTCCGCGTCGCGGTCGGGCTTTGGCCTTGGGTCGTCGGTCCGAGGATGCAACACTCACATGATCTGTGGTGTCAACGTCCATTGGTTCAGCCTCTTGTGAAGGTACTCGACGTGGATATCGAAG